TAAAATAAAACATTTAAACTAAAATAAATAATTTTAAAAGCTAAAAGTGAATTTAGGCATCACAACATCGCAATGTACAGTATTAAAACAATTTATAAAGATTTACCTGTGTTATTAAATTTGTTTTATATAGTGTTTTAGAATAAGGTGATGCAAATGTAATCAAAATGTAAAAAAGAAGGCACAATTGAATATGCCGTATATTTAAATATATAAGTAAATAAACAAATAGTCAGAGACACCACATTTAAAGTCAGCGTGAAATTAAAAATGACCCTGTTTATTTTCTTAATTCATGTTCCTGGTATTATTGTCCACATTACTCTAAAAATAAAGCAAATAACATTAGAAAGAAAGAAAGAAAGAAATCTCCTACCAAATATTGTCTGATAACTGATATATGTACAATATACTACTCATCCAGTTTAAACGTGCACTTTTCACAATCCAATCAGTTCTCAATGAATAAAATCAAACCCTAGATTTTTTATTTTTTTTTATTAAATATCAGGAAACATTAAAATAGCTTGCAAATGCCATTTCGCGATCACTGTAAGTTTGAATTCATAAACAAATAAAAGGTCATACCCAGTGGCGTAACTTTGCTTTGAAAAGTGGTGGGGACACCGTGCAACTCGTTTTGCTAGTTTAGTTTTTTTGCTTTTCAAAAATCGATGTACCAGGGGCGGCGCCAGAGAATTTTGAACGCAGGTGCTGAGGGGTGCTAGATCATTGACAGAGGGAGCTGGGCAATTCAGGGCTCCAGACTCATTCTTCCCACTGCTCGCTCTTTTGCGATTAACTTTCTCAGTTGGCTGCACGAGCACTTTTTTTTTTTTGTGCTACACTCTTAAAAATAAAGGTGCTTCACGATGCCATAGAAGAACCTTTTTGTCTGAATGGTTCCATCCATAGCATAAGGTATGGAAGCCCGTTTCCGCCACTGAATAAAAATAAAAAGTAATTGCGAATTTTTCTCACACAATTCTGACTTTTTTTCACAGAATTGTGAGATATAAACTCGCAATTCTGACTTTTTTCTCGCAATTGCGAGTTTATATCTCGCAATTCTTACTTTTTTTTTCGCAATTCTGACTTTTTTTCTCAGAATTGTGAGATTAACTCGCAATTGTGAGTTTATAAGTCCAATTTTGAGGGGGGAAAAAGACTGATATGTTCTCAGAATTGAGAGTTCATATCTCACAATTCTGACAAAAAAAAAGTCATAATTGCGTGATATAAACTCCCAATTGCGAGAAAAAAACTCTGAATTGTGTTTATATCATGCAATTCTGACTTTATTTCTCAGAATTGCCAGTTTATATCCCTCAATTATGACTTTTAACTCGAAATTTAACTCGAAAAAACCTTCTCTGGTTTAAGAAGCGGTCTTTTACTTGACTTAAGCATGAAAACCATCAATATTCGCATCAATTTTGCTGAGCGCACCTTCGGCAATTAATAGTAAATATAACCAAAACAGGTCATTATATTTTTTATATGAAAAATAAAATAAATATAAGGAAAACTCGCCCACTTGATTTTGTAATATTCTTTAATTTTGTAGTCCGTATGAAAAGGTGCATTTCTATTAAAGGCATGTCCATTCGTGCCATTCGTGCACGTCCATTCCACGGCATTCGGCAACCTCATCTTTGCACCCGAAACTGACTCAAAAAGCACTAGTTTATTAATAAATAATTAAAATGTCTTCTTTCCCCCGTTCAGAATCACTTTGCCGGTGCTTTGAGGCAATTGCTTTATGCGCGAGCTTGAGCGCGGAATAGGCTCTAGCCTAATAGGTCTGCCTATATTGAAGTATGGCGCTTATAAATGATATATTTAATAATTAATATATTATTATATTAATCAATTTAATATAACGTGTGACTAGTTGACTAGAAAAATCTTTAGTAGAGGGCAGGCCTATACTTAGCACAAGGAAGCTCTCCGTTTTTAAAATAAAATGCTATAGCCTAATGACATTACGAAAAGTGCGACAGCTGCAAATCACATCGTTATTGCACTGCACGAGTTATGCATGCATAAGGAGTTAATTTTTTTATCACCCTAATTAGATTGTGAAGAATGATTTGTTTATCTTTTTTTCCCTTTAATACATAGCCTACCTTCCACAATATATTTTTCAATTACTTTCAAAAAGTGGTAGGGACAATATCGACCCTGGCAAAAAGTGGTGGGGACATGTCCCACCCGTCCCACCCGCAAATTACGCCTATGGTCCTACCACACAAACACTATCTCCTACATGACAGGACTCTCCAGAGACAGACAAGCTCATCACCCATCTCAGTGCAAATAAAGTGCTACATTTAGGCTGGGAGGCACCAAGAGGACAAAGTGTGTGCAACACGAGACACTTTAGAGTTTTATTTAAAAAGCAGATGGCACAGCCGAAGTGAAGATGAATGGGACTGAAGCCTGGTGTGAGATGAGAACTAATTAGCCTGGCCAACAGAGGGGCTTGCTGAACTGCAGAGGCCTGCTTGAACATACACAAGCCAGGGGCTTCATTAGTCAGCCTACCCTGGAATAAAACACAGGGACAAGGGCAACAGTGCCCTGCCCCGTAGCCAGACTCCTACATGCTTTCCAATGCCTCAGAGAAACACGGGATGGGAGGGTGCCACACTCGATATCCCAGAATGCCCTGTGTCCTTCATTACTTTTTGCTGAGAGACATACGAGGGGAGTTAATGTGAGCTGCAGCAGTCTTTCTTATGATGGATTGTGCATACGCACACATCTTTCTCTCTGTCTATTCACTCTCTCTTTTCTGCGCACAATCTAATTTGAGATAAGTCGTAAGAGAACACTAGTGGGAGCGAGAGCAGACTTTATCAGTGCTCTGGGTGGGTGTGGGAGGAGATCTTGGAGTAATTGTATTCCTGTATGGTTGCAGGGACTTCTATTAAAACCAATAACTGCTAATGGGGTTACAGCTTAATTTTTTAAGTGCCTCGATAACGATTATGAAGACAGCCACATCTGTTTGTTTTATGTTGCTGATGCATATTAGAATGATCACTACTGTACGTAACTCTGGCAAACGAAGATCTTTAGAAGTCTGAGAGGTAGAACAGGCATAAAGGTTCTTTATTACATCTGTGGTTCCATGGAGAACCTTTAACATCCATGAAAACTTTCCATTGCACAAAAAGTTCTTTAGATTATTAAAATGTTCTTCACATTAAGAAAATAAATGGTTATTTTAAAAACCCAATGAAATGGTTCTTTTATGGCATTGCTGTGAAAACCCCCTTTTGGAACCTTTATTTTTAAGAGTACACTCTTAAAAATAAACGTGCTTCACGATGCCATAGAATAACCTTTTTGTCTAAATGGTTCCATAAAGAACCTTTAACATCTGAAGAACCTTTTTTTGACAAAAGGTTCTTCATGGCGAAATAAGGTTCTTCAGATTACAAAAAGGTAAGAAAGAGATGGTTCTTTATAGAACCTTTGACTAAATGGTTCTTTGTGGAACCAAAAATGGTTCTTCTATGGCATCGCTTGAACAACCTTTTGAAGCACCTTTATTTTTAAGAGTGTATAGGTACATGAAAATGTGTACAGATGGAAGTTTGCTACAAGATCTTGCTCCAGACAGCTTTTCTGATTCCCACTACACATCAGCTGATGAACGCTGATCCCATTCATTACAGAAAAACTGTATTGTTACATTAATGCTTGTCATGAGGGACGGCTCAACAGAGCGCAACATGTTGCAATTTTGTGACTTTTTGAGAGAGCAGGGGGGAAAAAAAGCTAAAAACGGCTATGTAAACAGACAATAGTGGGAAAGCTTTTTCAGGAAAAAATGTTCCCACTATTTCTGGGCATTCAGTTTGGCTGGAAATGTGGCATTCTCGGCTCACAGCGAGTTTCTGGATGACACATTAACACCTGGCGGAAACGGCAGCTAAAGCGAGCGCATGACATTGATTATAACCCTGCTGACTCTGACACTCACATCAACTGTCCAATCACTACCAGATATGAGCTGTGTGCTGTAAGCAGCACGCTTGACTGAAATAAGACAACACAATGTACATGCAAGCAGACAGAGAATACTGATTCATGCAATAAAAAAAGGAGACAAGAGGAAATTAGACAGTCATGTGGAAACTGTTAGAATAATTTTTCCAACCGACAAGGTGGAGGTGATGGTGCCGCAGCATCCAGTGGCCATTATATTCCATGCATTTACATAAAAAAAGCCATTCCAAGTCAAAAAATTGGCTCCACACTGATCAGAATTTCAGGTCTTGAACCATGAACTGTTAATCAGTGGCCAGAAATCTATGAGCTAAACCATATCTAGACCATGAAAATAACCTATAAGAATCAGAAGTTATTTACACTGTAAGCAGCTGATGTAAAACATCACTAAGATAATGATAAACATCACTTTTATGTCATAAACATTTTCACTGACGCACCATTTCACCTTGATGCACTACGTTTGTTTATGGGAAGCTTACAAAGTAACAGGCAGTTAAATCCTTGTTTGGCTCTTAAGGCAGTGGAGACACACTAACACACAGTATCTGTTAGCCGAGCACCAACACTGGAAATGGAAAAGGAAAATCTGCGGTCAGAAGCTGTCTGAAGCTTTTACTGGCACCGTATCACATTATAACTCGTGTTCATGACCAGCAGCTTAAGAAGCGGTTCCCTTTTGATAGGAGAGGCCTTGAGGGACTGTTATGAGCCATTTAAATAAGTTATTGGCTTGATCTGGACCTACTGACCATTAGTGTGTATACGAAAGCGAAAAAAATCAATAAAAAGAGACACATGATTGAGACAGGGCAGCACAGACATTAACCCAGACAGAAAAGACATTCAGGACATAAGGCTGGTAAGATCATGGTTAGTGAGCAATAATGATGCAGTTAAAAGCGAAGAGAAAAAAAAGGAAAGCAAATAGTGGAGAGAAATGCTGTTTCTCTCTCTTTTTTATATCTTGATTTTACCGTGGTTGCAGTCTTTCAGAACAGGTCTTTGTGGACTCGGACTGAGCACTTGTGTTGGTTCATCTGTAGAAATCAGGACATGGGACAAGACAAAGTGAGAGCCACTCTCACACACAAACACACCTTTGGTCTCCATACATTAGATTTTTACTTCCTTGTGTAAGGAAAGCCATGCCACGCTTTAAAAAATGTTCAGATTTCTTGAAGCATTTAACAGGTCCTTCTGATTTGACCGGTTCATTTGTTGGGCTCTCCTGATTTCTATTGAAGGTGGTCAGCTGCATTATACTCCATTAGTTCCTGTAATGCCTAAAAAAGTGTGCTGATAGTGGGGGGCTGATTCTGTACTGATTTCTATAGAAAAAGGTTTTTAACAGGAGTTACAGACTGTGAATTGTGCACTTACAGAACAACAGACTATATATAATGGTTTAATCCTAAAGAATTTGCTGGACTAAAGATACAAGATATAGAGCATAATTTTGTTCAATCGTTTTCAACATTGATAATAATAATAATTTATTACTTCAGCACCAAATGGGAATATTAAAATGATTTCTGAAGGATCATGTAACGTAACAACTGAAAATAATTCATGTTAAATGGTCAGGTTGATATTGTATATGCCACCTATTATCTGTCTGTAGCCATCTGCAGTCAACAAACCTGAGCCTCTCAGCTGGGTAGGACACATAACATGAAGAGCACGGAAGACACACTCTAGCTTATCTCACCCCTCACTGCGCTGGAGAAAAAGACTCTCAACCGCTGGGTGCTTTAGGGTGTTACTATAAGGGAAATACACAGTTATCCCTTCCAATCTCTGTCGGGATACTGGTCACCATTAAAAGAGTGTATTCTGTGATGATGGCCAACTGACTGTACATTATTGTGCTTATAACACAGCTACAAACAAACAAACAAACAGACATAAAACTAGTACAGATATGAAAGAAATAAGCTGTTTGGAACAACAGTCAATTAGAAGGTAATACCTGAATGAAGAAAAAGAAAGAAAGAAAGAGAAAAGACTCAACAGATGATGAAGGATGCGAATGGAGGAGTGTGAGGAGACTCACCTCGGGGTCGGGGTGCTCTTTTCCTGCGGTCTCTGAAAGCGGCTCCAGACTGCAGTGCCTCCAGCAGACAATCCATCACACCGGTCTCATCGTTCTCTACAGGAATGAGGAAGAAAGAAGAGAAATACATTAGGATGTGGAGGGTCATTCCATAGCATCACTTAAGGGTCTCTGCAGGAATGCTGGGG